AACATTGAGGAGTTGGGTCTTGAAGAAAGCATAAGCTTTCTAGTAATGGAACTATGAATAATTGGAGCAAAACCCATACTACAGTTGGATTTGTGCCAAAGTTGGCTTGAGTGCTTCGCAAGAGATGGGGAAAGAGATAGAGATGAGCTAGCAAAGTCTAAACCCAAGACGAACCTAGGACAAACCAACAAAGGTTAAAAAAAAAAAAAAAAAGCTAGAAGAGTGAAGATGCCGATGTGGACTTAAAATATGTTCACATCATTTTTTTTTTTCAAAGTGGATTTTTCACATCACACAATTCTATTAATTAACTGCCACCTGTCAAAAAATTTAACTAAGGGATCAAAAAATGGTCGGATTTCAATCTTTAGGGACTAAAAAAAGGATTTTTTCAGTACAGGGATCAAAAAGGATCTTTTTTCAATGGTAGAGGGACCAAAAAAGATATTTAACTTATAAAATATAGAGGTTAAGGCACCAAAGGCAGTTAAACCTTAAATTAACATACTTGAATATCCTTTGAAGATTTGAATAGAGAGTTGAAATGGACAGGAATGGTCATCAGGCGAATGGCCAAAAAGGCCAACGCACACCTAACAAAGTTGCGAAGGAGAATATGGCAAGTATGAGTATTGTTGTTCAATTTATGTCCATAATTGTACCTTGCAATGTATTAAATTTGCTCAGTTGACATTAAGCATTGTTACGAAGACAAAAGAGATTGTTGGGGCCACATAATTTTGGATCCAGAATGTTAACCTTAATATGCAATATATACTTTTTAACAAATGCAAATATATAGAGAGAATTTTGAATCCAACATGGGGTTAGAGAAATGGGAAGTGCACCTTTACCTGCTGCTTGGGAGGCTTGCTAACATTCAATAATTTAGATTTAATTAAAAAACGAAATATATTTTTTTTCCTTTTTCATAAAATCAAGTCTATTATGTTAACATTTTTATAGGATATGCCAAGTAGTTCAACTTGTTGGAGAAGTGCTGGAAAGAGTTGCACAAATTTAACATTTTTGTAACTATAACAATTAGTTACACTTCCCACTTTACTAACCTCATGGTAAATTCAAAATTCTCTCTAAATATTTGTACTTGTTGCAAAAGAAATACACTAAAGGATAGGGTTAAATAGCTCTTAAAACAAAAACATATACTTCGAAATTTTATGTGGTCCAAATTCCAAGAATATGTAAAATATTAATAGCAAATGGTTTATAACATTGGTTAAATGCCAATTTTGGTCCTTTAACTTTAAGATTTTTCATAATTTTCATCCCTCAACTTTTTATTCATTTTTTGGTCCCTTGACTACGAAAAATGCACTTTTTTAATTCTTCCATCAGTTAATCCGTCGAAGCTATTTTAATCTATACATTTTAGTCTCTTAACTTCTAATGTACGAACATTTTTTGTCCCTCAACTTAAAGTTGAGAAATTAAAAATATAGATATTTAAACAAATTTAACAAACTAGCTAACAGAAAGACTAAAAAAATATATTTTTCATAATCAAGGGATCCAAAAAGTGCAAAAAAAGTTAAGGGATGAAAATTGTGTAAAACCTTAAAATTGAGGGACAAAAATTGGCATTTAACCTATAATATTTGTTAAAATATCTATCAATATTTTCAAATTTTAATTTATAAAAAACAAAATAGACTTTCTAAAGACTTTTAAGAAATATATTCATTAAAGATATTGAGACCCAACACAACTTAAAATTTAACTTTACTTTAAACTATTGAAGAAGGTATCAAGCCATTCTTTGCATAGTGTAGTTAATAATATTAATCAGCATGTTGAGTTGTGTTTGATACCATATATAAGGTTGTAAAATGTTTAAATTATTAATTATAATTTATTAAGAACAATTATATTAAATATGTTAAATGCATTTGCAAACAGCTGCTCACTTGCACACGACAGATCCCTTTCATCATTTTTGCCCATCCTTGCTTGATTTATAAAGTGTCTGAATGAATTTTAAAGATGGTTTCTTAGGCTAAATTTATGGTTCATTGTATTTCAATTTTAAAAATGCTTTATTGGATAATTTTTATGTAGTCTTCATTTTTAAATTATGTAAGAAGTTAAATATTTCTTTCACTACTTATTTCTTTCCTTAGTTTTTAATAAATACGCATGGTAAAATTAATAATTTTAGTCAATATATTGATTGGTATATCTTAATATGATATTTTTAATTATTAATTATAATTTGTTTTGTATTGCTTTAAAAAGACACCAATTATCCTTTCACTACAATTAAAAGACATTTCATACCAATTAATATACTTGGTAGCAAAATAATTGGAAAGAAAGTGATTTGATTTCACCATATATCTCCATATCTTCTCATTGTAGATCAACTTAGACAATATAAAGGAAAAAGTTGATAAAAGAAACTAACCATATCCACTTTTAATTATATTCGGCTTTTAAGTGACATTGTATTGGGTATTTTTTAAATATGTGAAGATGTAAAAATATACCCATTAAGGAAATTTAGGCCTAACTTCTCACTTAATATTCAATGTTACGTTAAATGTTTTTTTTCTTTACTCATTAATTGCCTTATTTAGTCTCATTAATTAAATTTTAGAAATAGAAATCAAATTTAATTATAGCACTATATCTAGATTTTGCGAGAGCAATATTTATTAGCAATTATAAAAAAAAAAAAGTCATTTAATTTAGATAATAGTCTAGGACATACAGGTTGCCTTTTTAAATTTTTGGTTAAAATTCCTTTTTGGTCTCTCTACTCAAAAAAATCCTTTTTAATCCCTAAAGTTTAAAATTTGACTTTTTTTTGGTCTTTTTGTTAAATTTTTTGATAGGTGGCAGTTAATTGATGGAATTATATGATTTATTTTTTATATAAATGATGTGGAAAATCCTCCATGGTGTAAAAAAATGATGATGCAGCATCTTGTGTACTAATATTAAATATGATATGTAATTTTAATAAGTATATATTTTAATTATAAAAATTAAAATTACAAATTTACCCTTAAACTTCATCTTCAACCACCCATCTTCTCTCTCCTTCATTTAAACCAGAGTCGACAATCTTCTCCCTCCCCTCTTCCTTTCCTCTCCTCTCCTATCATCATATTGAGTCTTTTTCTTAATAAATTGGCAATGACTCCCCCAATAAAATATCTCACCATGAACTCAAGAAAAAATAAGAGAAATCCTACATAGATCTAGTTCCCCGACCCAAATCTGGTTTCCCTACTCAAATCTGGTTTCCTCTCTTATCCCTTCTTTCTTTAGATCTAAATGCAATTCAAAAAACCCTAATCCAATGGTTCATTCTTCCCTCCTCAACCCTTAGTTTCCACAATTTTGCACCACCACCAGCTCCTATTGTTATTGCCATCGACCCATTCATGGACCAGATGGTGACCAACTTCAATAAAGTCCTTACCAGACCATTGATGCCCTCTTACGATTTTTTCCTCATTTCCTTCTCTTCTCCTCTCTTCTCTCCTCCTCTCCTCCTCCATCCAAAACCAGATCTAGGTTCATCGTTGTCGTGTGAGCCTTGAGCGAGGAACCCAAATTTGGGTTCTTCCCACATGCCTTCCATGCAATCCTTAACCGAAACCTAGTTTTTTCTATTGAAACTAGTTTTGTTTTCCTGCTTGTTTAGATGCTACTCAGACATGGATTGTGCCACCACATCCACTGCCATCCTTATTTTCTTGATTGGAAGCGGTTTTGTTGTTTGGTTTCTTAGAAAGTAAAAGAAAATATGAGAAAATTAAGTGATAATTTGTAGTAGAAATTATATTAGTGATTTCCAAAAATTATGTATTTTAATTTTGAACATGTAATAAGAAATCTAGCATTGAACCCATTACAGATGATTTTCTAATAATTGAGAATTTGTAAATTTGTAGATGGTTATTCGAAGAACAAACAAGTGAAGAAATTGTTACTTTTTTTAAAAAAAAAAAAAATCTAATTAGACATAAATGATTTAATCTAATGAAACTTAAATGAATAATTAAAGTTAGTTAATAAACAATTAAAGTTAATTGTTTGTAATTCAAAAATTAAGAAATAAAAATTAATTTTTATGAAAAAAAAACTAATTTTTTTATATGAAATGCTATGTGGACTCAAAAATATGTCCGTATTATTTTTTTTTGTACAAAGTGGATTTTTCACGTCACACAATTCCGTTAATTGACTATAGATCACTCGTAAAAAAATTTAATGGAAAGACCAAAAAGAGATCTGATATCAAACTTTAGGGACTAAAAGAGAGCTTTTTTTAGTAGAGGAACTAAAAAGGGACTTTTTCATAAAATAGAGGAACCAAAAAGGGATTTTAACCTAAATTTTTTTAAAGGATTTATCAAGAAACTTACATTCTAACTATTATTTTCAAAACTTAACTATTGAATTAAAAGTTTTATTCATATTTATCATACATATTAATTTTCATATTGATTTAACATCTATAATCCTTTGATCAAAAAAACTTTATTTATTAATATATATTTAATTGTGTTAAATTTCTTATAATTAATAGTGTAGTTGAGCCTAACAAAACAATTTAAAAATTGACATGTGTAATTTATATGAATAAAAATTTCAATTCAACTATTGATTTTTTAAAATATTAATTAAAAAATGAGTTTTTTTTTAAGTTTCCCAAAAAAAATTTAAGAGGACGAGTTACAAAATACTTTTTCTTTTCATTTGTATTTATAGTTAATTATTAATAAAATAACTTTAATAATTAATAGTTGAGTAATGATACGCTAAGAACTTATTTATACAACGTTTATTTATAACTTTTACATATCAATATTGTAATACCCCAAAATTTTGTGCTATTTTAACATTTAAGTAAGGGTTTTTGTGTGAGAAAAATATTATTTTGGAGCCTAATGTGAATATTTCAAAAGTTGAGGGACTTAAAGTGGAAGAGTTCTGCTCGTTTTCTTGTCTTCCCGCTGCAGCCACCCGAAGAGAAAACAAAAAGGGAAACCCAGCCATGCCTTGGAAAACCGGTGAGAAAGCTTGATTTTTCCCTTCTTTTCTTGTCCAAGAACCTGATTTGAAACCCAGAAAATCTTTCCCCTTGCTGGAAATCCAGATCTGCTCTGCTCTGTCTTCCTCACCGCCAGCTGCCCTTGATTTTAGGTGAATTCTGGGCATTTTTTTGGTAAGAACAGCCCCTAATTTCCTTTGTTCTTGCTTGAATTGGCTTGGGTTAACTTTAATTGCTCTTGTTCCTCCAATTTTTGGGTAAACCCGTGAGCTTTCCCTGCAGCTTGCCGTCGGCTTCTTCCCCCTGCTAAGTCCGGTTCCTTGCTTGTAAATTCTGGTATGTGACAGCCCTTTTAAGGCTTAAATTATTTGTCTAGTTCGCTAGCTGTGTTGTCCGAATTTGATAGAAAATTGGGGATAATTCCGGTAGCTTTAGGATGAGATTTAAGTATTAATTGAAGTGAGATTTATGTGATTGAGTGTTAATTGATTGCTGTGTGATTTTTGGAGAAAATCCCATGAGATTAGCTAGTGTTTTGGCCAATTTGTGGAAGTGGAGTTACTGTTCACGTCGGGGCACTGTTCACGGGCACTGTTCACACCTCGAGGGCCAACTATTAACGGGGATTTAAATGATTAGTTTGTGATATGAGAACGAAATTGGAGATATTGATCATGTGGAGATTGATAGGAATAGCATTGTGATTAGGAATAATCCTAATGATGATTT